TGAACAGTGATCTCAACAACCCGATGCCATTCTGCAGCTAGCTTGACGATCGATGTTATGACATGTTTGTGAATAACTTCATGTGCACATTACAGTAACGTTTGCAGAGTCAATCACATTTTCCGCCCATTGAGAGCGCGATAACTCAATTGTGAAGTTGCAGGAAAAGACTTATTAACCTTCTCCCTGCTGCCTAACCCCAAAAGCTGTACAGATTTGGCGCCAGATGGATACTTTAGCATTCTCAAGGTTAAAAAGTCACATGTTTCTACTCGAAAGAGGAATTAAAATCAATAACTACAATTTTGTTGGCAACAATACATTACATGATGATTCCTTGTATAGACCTAGGAATGAAGCAAAGTCTTACATGTTACCATTTCATAGCACTTTAACCTTTAAACATCTCAGCTAGACCTATAATGAATATAGGAACCTAGCAATTCCATCTCAAACACTACACAAACCCACATGTATCCCAACACCACGTAATTGCAACTACTGCCCCTTCTCTTAAACCCATCCAAGGTTAAAGGATTTGAATCTTTTGTCGACAAGCCATCTTGGATCTGCTGTTGCCTTGGCTCAGACGGTAAAACTTTAATTACGTCCAAAGATACGATGGCATCATTGGACCCAAAACAGAATCTTTCCTTCACCATGGAACCAAATTTAATCGTAACGAGGGCTCGACTATGCTTCCAATTTGAGTCCAGAATTGACCAGCTTTAAATAACCTGTTGCAGGTCAGAGTTATCAATGATTCAATCTTGTCTCTACGTCAGTGGGCATCCCATAATAGACTGTGACTTCCATATAAGGGATGGCAAATCCTTCCAGGCAGTTTTCAATCGTCTCGAAGAGATAACCTTTGCCAAGTTGAGTTTGTCTGGAATTGGGGGAGAATTTCGGACTTTTATCACACTGAATGGTGCGTAGATGTGGACCGAATTGGTGGCACAAGTGTCAGAATATAGAAGGAGTGGAGTCTGGGGTATATCATGCATTCTGTGCCACTTCTGGTATGGTATATAAGTTTTCTGTTCCCTGGTTTACCGGTTGCATTTTTGCAGGTTTTCAAGTACAAGATACACCTGCACGGGAAATTGAAGCTGTCCTTGGTGCTGAACACTGGGTACAGTGGAAAAACATGTTAGCCTTCTGATATACTCACCTGAACGTACACACACACACACACACACACACACACACACATCAACGTTTGCACAAAACAATGACATGAACAAAGATCATAAATAAAAAAACAAAGCTGTCTCATTCGAAACACTTCTTCCAAAATTTGTTAATAAATGAGTAATTGAATAATTGAAAAGACCAGCGTGCACACACCACACAAACCAGTTTATCAGCGTTAGAATATGTGATTATATCGTGATCATATCGTGATGTGATTATGATATTAGACACGGTCTTCTGAAACCATCTTCAATCATGCACGGAAAGGACGTAACCATATAAATTACCTAATTATACCTACGTGCCGAGGGTAGATTCTGCATGTCATGTTAGATGTTCTAATAACTTGCTAATGAAAGACCCCTGTCAAAAGTTTCATCAGGTTGGTAAGTCACTGAATAAAGAAATTCTTTTTACACAACCAAATGTTTTATTCACAGCCGACGTTTTGGTGACCGTCTGTCACCTTCCTCAGGGCAATTCACATTGCCGGTTCACATTGCATAGCAGCACAGGTGTCGCTACATATACGTTTTGTATTTTACATTTTTATCTAATGGTATTATGGACTCCATTAGTATATAGATGTTTGTATCTTAAGTGAACTGAATACTTTTTGGCTCTCATCGAAATTGACATGTTACGTAAAGGTGAATATAGAAGTGGATGCTATGGTCCTCTTTCAATTCGCCTTCCAATCTCAGGGCAATCTAATTGCAGACGTAACTCCCTGCGTCTTTCAACCGGCTGCCAGGTCCTTGCGAAAATGAAAAGGTTTCGGTGCATATCTTGACACTAACACTGAATAGCAACATTACCAGGGAGTACTTGGATATCCCGTAAGAGCTTTATAAATCTTGCATGAAGGTTTCTAAGTGGATGTATGATAATTAGCCAACTTGTAACGAGGGAGAGGTCACGAAGTCCACGAAACTTTAGCTCAGGTCATGCACTAGAACTGTAAGAGGTAATCTTCCTATCTATCTCACAGAAATCTGGTGCTCCGCTGCGCTGATTCTTCAAACAAATCAAAGAGGTGAAATTCTGAATGATTGTTTCGCCTCGGCTTGGAAATGAATACGGACGTCGCGGGTGCTTCATATGATCTAACCCTATTATCGATACAGGTCGGAGTTCTTTTCGTTTGATTTTCATATCATCCTTTCAATTGGCCTGGGCATTAAAGTTATTTTAGCTGCCAAGTCTCTTTCGTCCTCTTCTGAAAACTAGATAGCAGAGAGGACGAGAGAGACTCTGTAGCTGAAATAGGTTTGGTAACTAGGCTACTTAACTACGACTGTACCATCAGAGTGGCGTCGTGTGGCGTAGTGGTAGAGCGTTCGGCGGTCAAACAAGGAGACACGGGTTCGATCCCGGGTTCGGTACTAGCGACATGTCCGAACATGCTACCCGGCGTTGTGCCCTTGGAAAAAGTATCCCCCCTTAATGCATTAGAGGGACAAGTCTCCAACGGCAGTTGTCTTCAGCTGGCGGACGAGAGCAGCGCCAGGCGGGCTAGCGTGATCAAGGCGGACCATGAGCGTAACCAAGTCATCCGGCAGCTCGCTGCAAGCATCCCAACCGGAACCAGCACGTCTCCCTTGACGTGGTACCGCTGGAGAAGACGGATGCCCAAGTGTGTGGGTCTCAGATTCGCAACCTGTTATCCACCTTAAACAAATCTACGCGAGGGCCACCGTGTCAACCCTCCTCACTCGGGTGTAGGGACTGACACGGTTATCATGCTCGGAATCACGAGTGATTGCCCACACTATACATACCATACTATCATCAGAGTCAGATATGGAAATACGATTATTCTTGCAAGAAAGATAACCCGATAACGTAACAGAATGGGCGTCCATTTGCCAGTATAGGATCTCTCCTGGAGGTGACACGAGCTAAAAGCTTCTATTAATCCAGACACATGGGAGGATTTGGTGGCTCCCCTAATCTAATGCGTATCTCTGTATCAAAAGATTACTCGCTACACATTGTGCTTTTCCTGTTCCTTGTAGAGGCATCAGAAGGGACTGATCATCATTATGTTTACTTTCGCAGAAGGTAAACATATTGTTTTTGCCCTGTTTCTTCTTCCTCTTCTTCTTTTCCAAACAAATAAGGTCAATGACCTGAACCAGACGTCTGTCACCATGGTAACTAGTGTTGCAATTTTATAGCAGGAGGGATTTAGACTAGCCTGGGTGCCATCCCCAGTAGTATATTCGCCAGCTCTAGAGCTGGCGAATATACTACTGGAGATGGCACCCAGGCTAGATTTAGACTCCTGTCACCATATATATGAATGTGCCTGAGTAGGAATTAACAGAATAGAACATGCGAAGGTAAACATTATGCATTTGCTTTGCAGTAATGATAGCATTGTTTAGTTTTTGTAGACTTAATCTTTATTGATTTAAAGTGATGACTTGTGAATATAAAGCTTAAGTGATGACATCTAGTCTGATATGAAATCTATTCGCCGAGCCCACGGCGTTGGTGGCTTTCGTCAAATTCTTCTTCATAAAGTAGGTGTGCATGTTTGCAATATACTAGTAGACCAAGGGCCCATTATACACTACATATAAGAACTGTTGGTGTATTGAATACATCTTGTCAATGTTGAGAACCATCGCATGCCCAGACCCTGCACTTCTTCAAACGACTTTGATGCTGACACCATACCGGCGCGGGTCTTTAATTGCGTACTTATGTAGGGAGGATTTGGTTAATGGTGTGGTGGGCGGACTTGTGGGTCGATGTCGTGACTTGAAGGTAGAAGAGAAACTGATGTGAAATGCTGAGATGACTGCAGGGTTAGTGAAGACAGACGTGAGGACATTACCGATGATGGGGAAGTGGTAACATTGATATGATTATCCACATCAAGACAGGTTCTCATCCTACATATACATTCTTTTGACGTGCATCGTCCGTGGGTTTCATCGGAGGCCAAGTAAGGCCATGTTGATTTGATGATATGGATGACATCCACGCGCACATGAATTTTTGGCCGTTTCCAAAAAAACGTTTTCAACCATACTGTAAATCGTACAAAACGGTTGCAAAATCAAGCAAATATATACCGTAAAAAGAAATATTGGAAAACCATACCAATGTCGTAGAATGCCAAATGAAATGTAAAGAAATGAATTTGAAGAGTAGATTATTCGCCGGTGGCATATCAGGACTCGAACCCGGGACCTCTTGGTTCCGAGCCGAGCTCTCTGCCATTACTAGCTAGTACGCCACACGACTCCACTTAATTCACCGGGTTGCAGAACGGACAACCCAGGAGTGTTCTGTAGCCTGCCTTACATCTGTCTTACTTGGAAATCTAGAACTAGAAGATAAGGCCATATGGGGGAGTTAAACCAACTTTGAACGAGAAAACAGGGAAGGTCCGCTTTAAATTTGGCTGAGACTGCTTGTACGGATTGCAGTTCCATCGTTGGCCGCAAGAGGGGAGGAGAATTACGCCATGAGAAATTTTACGGTGTTCTATAGTAATAGAATGGGGGATCAATATTAACAAGTTGTAGTGTCCCCCACAGATCTTGCACCTTTGTTTTTATTGAATTCTTGATAAAGATCATTGTCATGCCTACAGATTGTTACTTCAGACATTTTCTGTCTTGAATTCGTAAATATCCACCCATCAACTTCACGGAGTATGGTATTATATTGGTAAAAATATCAATACGCACACACATATTTCTAGTAAGAAATTACTAGTTTATTCAGCAATAGACAGACAGGAAGTTCCAGCAAAGGAGCAAGTTGCTTTCACCAATATATATGTAGAGAAAACACTAAATGTTAATCGTTGTACAATATCATTAGATGCGGACTTACACTTCTAACCATGTCGAATAATTGTCCTATCTTTAGTGTCCCTATCGTCACTATTTTAAGTCCTTAAACCCCATAAAGTCGTTAACATGGCTGAACATATTTTAATGCGCTCGTTTTGTAGTGATATATACGTGGACTGATTATTGAAGGTACAGCATGACTACACAGTTGACATTTCTTTAACAGCTGTTAAAGTAAGGAAGTATCAGTCCTCAGGTTATGTGTAATAAGTCGGTTACAATATTCATTTATGCAAACAGGAAAAATGTTATATATTTGGCCATAAAATGCCTAAATGACTACAACAAGCTCTGTAGTACACATTCAAACAATTATGTTGTTGTGATCTTTTGCAAACTTGACAATGTAATAAAAGTATTGACCTATTTGTTAGCGTCTAACACAAAGCACACCAAATAGCTGAACTGTGAACTGATAGAGCTGCATGTATTAAACTCTGTGCTAATCTTATTAACTTTCTTCGTTAAAAGTGACCGCATTGCGTATCGTATCATTCCATCCTACCGATGAACTAGAGTCGAAGTAGCGTAAGCGGCGGTCAATTTGCAAGTTCTCTTAGAACTCGAACAGCCTGATGTCGCTACAGGCGTTGAAGTAGCCCGGACACTGCCCAACGCAGCTGTAGCCGTCCCACAGGTCCACGTGCCCGGTAGCAGCCTGAAACCCGCAGTTCTGGAACACGATGATGCCGTCTTTCCCCTAGTAGGATGGAAAATACACAGTTGGCGACAAAAGGGAGCGTTCTATTATTACATTTACCGAAGGAAAACATATTGTTTTTGCTCAGTTTCTTCATCCTCTTCTTCTCCAAACAAATAAGGTCAATGACCTAAACCAGACGTCTGTCACCATGGTAACCAGTGTTGGGTAATATCATGTTGCAATTTTATAGCAGGAGGGATTTAGACTCCTGTCACCGTATATATGAATGTGTCTGAGTAAGAATTAACAGAACAGACCATATGCGAAGGTAAACTTTGTAAATGTTCTAGTTGATGAGCGCTCTTACAGTAACTTGACACAAAAATCCTAAAATCCGCACCAAAAGGTGTAAGGCATAAGCAATCATAACGATGCAGACAATAACTAATTAGTTGCTATTTTGCCGTTTGCTATATATCTATTCTTCTTTTATTAATCTCTTATAGTTACAAAAAGTCATGGTTGCAATTTTGACCCTACAAAAGGCACATGTTTCTCGATTACTCTTACCCGGAAACTGCTCTCACTACTTCCGGTGACGTCGGCATCACCGTACTGGTTCTCCAGGTAACAGCGCATGGTGGCCACACGGATGATGTAGGGCCGGCCCTGGCTGTCTCTCACGCCGGACCAGTTACAGGAGCCCGGGGCAATCTGCCTTCCTACAGAGGACAAATAAAACCCAAATCTGATCGACTTCTTCTGGAAACTTGACTATATTCCTCGTAAACAAAGTTTTTAACGTTAACGCTTTTTAGCAGTTTTGTTGTTGTACAGTTTTTGTGCTCAAGATTTCATTTAAGAAACTCTTATGCACCAAAAGTTAAAGAGGAAAAAATGTTCTGCGTCGATATCTAAGAAAAACAGTCCATCACAGAAGGGTTTGATTCTACATTGATCTAGAACACAGAGCAGAACAACACAGTTCTCTGTCGAACTTAGAAGGCTACAATGCGGCAACTAATGTTCTGTTACTGTGCTGACCTGGCAAATACTTTACTTGTTGACCTGGAAAAGGGCACATCTTTTATATCTGCAAACTGTATACAGAAATTTGCAGTTGGGGGCCTTGAACGGCAAATGGATGTCTTATCACTACAGTTTGCAACTTTGTTTAGACTGTTTCCAGAGATAAGTCGACTTACCCGCGTAAGTGAGCGCGCGGCTGACCCTCATGGCGCAGGTGTTCTTGTCCACCACCCCGTATAGCCAGGAAGAAAGACCCTCCTGGGCCACCAGGCCGTCCCAATCGATGGAATAATAACGAGGGTAGTTGCTCCGAAGCTGCGAAAAGCTCGGCCAACCTTAGCAAAAAAAGATAACAGTGTTTGTTAACGTTGGCTCGTTTTCTATTGAAGACTGTCATTAAAAAAAGAAAGAATGTAGACTTCGTGGTTCCTCCGTGCCAAAGAGGTGCATGGTGTCGTCTCATGGGGAATTTATGAACATAAATGTTCCAAGGCGATATCAAACTACTTTTCAGGGTATATACTATCGCTTGGTACATGGTACAGGAAACTCACCAGGTCGGGGTCTCGGATTGTTTGAGCCTGAGCTTGAGCCTGAGTGTGAGCCGCCAGACGAATTGCATGCGCTGCTTTCGTCCCAAACGCCGGCGAAAAGTACAACGACGAACAGCACTGCCACCTTCATCCTGCTGGCAAACTTGACCGTAGAGCTTTCTTGACGTTCTCGGCAGCCAGTGCTCGGAAGAGTTTGAATTCTGCGTGAGCGTTCTCGGCTTTTTGAGTTGCGCAGTGCAGAGATTCTTTATGTTTAACAAGTGAAGCGTAAACTTCTTCCTCATTCCTTTCGGTAATTCATGTCCCCCCATTTGGGGTAACGGGTCACGTCAATAAGTACTTTGATATAGACCCTTAGGCTAAGTCCAGCCTTCTGTTGTTATGTTTGCTGGTATTTATTATGGCAACCGCACGTAGAGTGGCCTTAACTCCTAGTAGGAGAGCTTTATGCTCAATTCTTTATGCTTTGGAATTGATGAAATTTCTTCCTCATTCCTTTCCTGTTTTTCAAATAGTGTGAAAACAGTAATCGCCTCTGCCAGGCTTCGGGAGGTGGCTGGATAGAGTAGAATCCATGGTGAGAAATCGGCCAAATAGAGAGATAGCATGTCAGGGGAGTTGGTCCGCTGGAGACGGCAAACTGTTCTCTCCAGCAGACCAACTCCCCTGGCATGCTGGCCGATTTCTACTCTTTCCATCCGCCTCCCGAAGCCTGGTAGAGGCTAGTAATCTGAGGGTAGCCTGTGGACACAAGCTCTTTGTCCGGCTCTTAAGGAGCTGCCCACCCCAAGGTGGTGGACTAATTAGGAAGCCGGCGAAAAGCGAGGTGCAGTCAGGCTAATCTGAGGGCAGTCACGTCGACAAGTAATTAGTCTTAGCTCCAGACTAGCCCTCTGCTGTTATATTTGCTACAGATGTTAGACCTTAGATCTTAGATGGCTTGATCTCAGGGTGCATGTAACACTACCTATCAACTTATTCTTGTTACCTTCGTCAGAAGGTTATGTGTTTAGCTACACCATATATAGGGGTTGCTGATTTTGTGATCGGGTATAACTTGGGATTTGGTGCATGTACATGTATCTTTATGATATTTGGTAGGTAGGATGAGGTTGGGAAAAGGAAGGTCAAGGTCAATTTCGGGTACTCTACTGTTTTTGTAAGGTACTGCAGCAGGGAACATGGGTATAATATCTCGTGCTGTGGCCATGCTATGGTCTTGATTTTTGAGTGGTAAGTACTTGGTGTGGTTTTCAGCGAAATAGCTGTTTTTGGAGCTGCTGTGGTCATTTTTATGACGGAATGTGACTAGACGGGATAACTTTTGATGTTGTGAATGTTAACTTTTTACAGTATTTTGTAGATAGTTCATTAATAAGTAGAACCACTGTGTATTAGTGGATACTAAATAAAACAGAGGAAGGCATTAAAGAATAAAGAGGTCGACTCACGCACACTCACCAAATTCAACACATATATATTTAATCAAGTTAAAAAAATGCCTCTTGACCTCTCTATTAGCGCAATACAAGTGTTCTTAGCACATGTGATACGGAATGTAAATCTAGTTTTAAGTGAACAAAAACAACTATTATGGGCGATAACTATTAAATGATCATTGCTGAATGAGTAAGCCACACAATCCGCTTTACTGTGTAGGTTGTCGTCCTTTGCGTTTGGATGCGGTCAGGCCGTCTATTTGGTGTAGAAGACCTTGGCCGTGACGGAACCAATGGACACAGTCTGTAGTAAAGATAGATAATTGCGAAGTTAGTATATTTATGTGCAGTATATGCATATAATGTGAGAATAAGCTGATGTCTGTAAGTCACTGGCTAATTCAAATAGGTCAAGAGTTGTAACCAGAAAGTTAACATTTGCTGATTTGCAGAGCGCCTTCGCATATGGTATGCTCTGATAATTCTTACTCAAACACATTCATGTATATCGCGACAGGAGTCTAAATCCCTCCTGATATAAAATTGCAACATGATGTAACCCAACACCAGTTACCATGGTGACAGACGTCTAGTTCAGGTCATTGACCTTATTGGTTTGGAGAAGAAGAGGAAACAGAGCAAAACAGTATGATTTCCTACGGTAAACATAATGAAATTTGCTCGGAGACTTAGCCCACCTCCGTGAGTTTGCCGCCCGACACCTCCTTCACCATGGTGCCTTTTGTCCCCTTCCCGTCAAAGTCAGGGTAGCTGTAGGTCAGCTTCCCGCCTGCAAACGTCACAGTGGCCTACAGGGGGCGCAAATAAAACATAAGACAGAAAGAGTAGAAATCGGCCAAATAGAAAGATTACATGCAAGGGGAGTTGGTCCGGTAGAGAGAATTGTCAACCGAACAAACTCCCCTGGCATGTAATTTAATTCTCTATTTGGTCGATTTTTACTCTTTCCAGTTGCCTCCCGAAGCCTGGTAGAAGCTACGATTACATACAGTACATGTAAGCGATCAGCGGACACCTGTTTAATCCTTCTAATCATGTAACTCGTGACAGTATGCATATTGTATGTACATGTAGCGATGCTGAAAGAAGTTTCGTTTCGTAGCTTCTTGTTGTCATGCTTTTTAACACCCTCCCCATTCGGTATCCTATAGGTTGATCAAACATGCTCAAAACATTGCAACTTCCTCCAGTACCTCTTCCCAACACAGAAAATCGAGCTCTGGATTTTACCTTGCGCTTCTGCCCGTCGATCCCGACGTCCTCGTACTCCTGCCCGAGCTTGAAGGTGTTGGTGTGTGCCGGCTGGTCGGGCCCGGCTGACGTGGAGCTGGCCTTGCACGTCACGGTGTCCCCGTCCTGCGAGAACTCGTAGGTCAGCGTGCCGCTTTTTACGGTGTCGAAGTACTCCTTAGGGCACCCTGCAGAAAAATACGTCAACTTTAATTACAATGTAAGCATCTTTGAAAGACCACATAACGGTGATATTTACGTACTATAAGACGTGTATAGACGCGTAAAGATGGAATATAAGTTAACGTTCAGCATGGGAGAACTCGTAGGTCAGCGTGCCGCTTTTTACGGTGTCGAAGTACTCCTTAGGGCACCCTGCAGAAAAATACGTCAACTTTAATTACACTTTAAGCATTAAGTTGCTTGGCATCTTTAAGCATCTTTAAGTTGCTAAAAGGCTACGTGAAAGCCGGAAAATAAGGATCCATCCGCACCTATGGAAAGACCACGTAACGATATTTGCGTAGGTCAGCGTGCTGCTTTTTAAATTTTACGGTGTTGAAGTACTCTTAAGGGCACCTTGCAGAAAAATACGCCAACATTAATTACAATTTAAGCATGTTTTAATGATTATTTACGACATCTTTAAGTTGCTTAAAGTGAAAACCGAAAAATAAGGATCCATCCAGTGTTTGGGACGTAATTAGCAAGCGTGTGCCGCTTTCTACGGTGTCTAAGTACTATTTAGGGCACCCTGAAACACAAGCGTGTACTCCGTGAATACGGTTTCATCAGGTTGGTAAGTCACTGAGTAAAGGGACTATTTTTACACAACCAATTCTTTAATTCAGCCGACGTTTCGGTGACCGTCTGTCACCTTCCTCAGGACAATTCTGACTGGTTTACATTGCACTGCAGCACAGGTGTCGCTGCTACAGATGCATTCCCAAACGTACAATATTTACATATGTACACCAGTGCAATGCGAACCAGTCAGAATTGCCCTAAGGAAGGTGACAGACGGTCACCGAAACGTCGGCTGAATAAGAGAATTGGTTGTGTAAAAAGAGTCTCTTTACCCACGAGTGTGTACTGTCAGCAGGTCCTTTACTGTACTGCATCGTAAAGTCGTCTTAAATTTGATGTGCCGCCAGTCACAAGAGGTATGTAAACTTGTCCCTGCATTCTTGAGTATGGACATAAGTGGTGAGGTACCAAGAGAGGTACCATAGAGGGCGTATGTCAGACCTAAATGGCTCTTGTTTTAGTTAGACGTTTTGTGAGAGTCTTGATCACTACTGTGAAGTTCTACGAGCGTTAGCCAGGCCACTACCTGGCCTTATCCAGTGTTATTCCGATCACAATGATAGTGACACGCGAAGACTGATAGGAGTGCCGCGCCCCCTAGCGAGCCATCGACGCTCGACCTTGAAGTTGAACACCTGAGAGCCGATGGAATGAATCTGGCTCCACTAAATGTGATTATTGACGCTCTCATGCCCGTAGCCAGGGGGTTCGGAAGAACACCCCCCCCCTCAATTGCAAGGCTCAAAGGTCTACTTTTTATCTTAAGGTCCAAGATTTTTTCTTTAAAAGGTGGACTGATTTGTATTATTAGCAGGGTTGGAAACCCAGAAAAACTGATCACTTTGTCAATCATAAAGTTATCTCTGATTTTTCCTTTGAATTCTCAAAAGTGCGGGAAATGCCATTTCAGAAGGTTCAATTTTCAAAATTTTCCTGGGGAGCACGCCCTCGGACCCGGGCCTAGCAAACTCGCACCTACGGCTCTCGCTGGTCCCTCAGTCGGTAAGAAGAACCCCCCAAACAAAATCCTGGCTACGGGCATGGCTCTAGAGGACTTTGACCTGGTGGTTGCCATGGGAATGCTGGCCGCCGCGTCGTCGCGATGATTCCAAGGCCGGGCATTCCTGCGTCGCGCGAGGTTCAATAGTGGTTTCTATGCGGGGCTTCCATTGGTTTTTGTAAAGGTTCAATACCCCGAGCAAGAAGGTTGAATTGATTGTGCACAAACTTCTTAGAAAGGGATAAAAACAGGCCTGAAATGTACGTTTGTGACAAAAAATTAAGGAGCCGATTGGTGACTAAAGCTGAATGAAGAAGCTAGGAGGGGTGGATTTTAAACAGATGTAGTTTACGTCGACAGTAACTCACACGGACGCGAAGAAAGGTTCACAACAGGTGTAGGTGAGGACCGTTCACATGCAATTTGTATGAATCGTAACTCCATGGCCACACAAGACGCTACTGGAAAACTTTTTGGTAACGCAGCTGGCGACAAGTAACACAAAGTGAGAACAAGCTACCGTTGCTGCTAGCTCTTCCAAGTTTTTTTCTCCGAAATACGTTGTACTCTTTTTGCTCTCCGTATCCACCAAAGTATCCAAACCGCTGATTCAAGCAGTAAAACTAATGAGTGTCTTAAGACTCAACGTAGTAGAACTACTTAACACAGAAGTCTTACCTGTAGCCTCAAGGTAGGCATCTAGATTCTCATTCCCAGCCGACTTCCAGGTGCCGTTTAGGTCGGTAATAGACATGGTGTCAGAAGTGGGATAGAATCAAAACGGACAGAGGGGAAAAGGCTGGAACTACTGCAAGTTCAAAATCCCTGCACTGAGGTCTGGAGAGGACTCCAGGTATTCAGTTCAAGAGCTTTATACGAGTTTTCAGTCAATTAATCAAATAGGCACCGCCCACAACGCCCACCTGGTCTTAAGAATGAACGTGACGTTTGTCTTTAACTACATACATGGCCTGTATGTGAGGCCACATCCCTTATATTCTTTTAACACTGATCTTTGATCTTCTACATTTCTTGATAAAGACTCAAACAAAGTAGGGTATATGACGGGTCTTGTGTCAGAACAAAAACGTATCAGCTCATATGTTATATCATATCGCCACATTGCTACATTTCTAACAACCTCTCCTAATCTATGGAGCCGACATGGTAGACTTTAATCTAACTCTAACGAAAATTGTAATACATAACTGCAATACGTCGTTTCCGTTGCCTTTGAGTCCCTTACAGTGTTTGGGATGTAATTAAACAACAGGACCAATGACATGTCAGCTTTACCTGGCAACCAATCACGGCAGGTAAAGCCACCTAACCGTACGGGCGCATGTACGAAGGTGAACTACAACCATATATGGTAAACATCATTATAGCCCCCAGTCTAGACACAGAAATAAATGGTTTAGAAACTAGGAGGCGAAGAAATAAATCTTTCAGTTACGTAGCAGCTTAGTGTTAATGGTGTAGATAGTGGGGGCACTTGGCCGGGCACAAGTCAACATTCACCGGTTATAAATGTGGTCAATGGGCGTCCTGCGTTTGAAGCATCGTGGCACAGTGACACATTTATTAGAGTGAAGTTTATTGCAGAACGTTTAAGCTTTGCTATCATTTAAATAGGGTTAAGTATGATTTATACGTTTATTACGCTCAGCTATGATTGACTGCTAAGTAATTACAAAATTAGTCTTATAAAGATGTTACAACATTTTATTGCCAGCTATCACACAGCAATCACAATGTTTCCGCTTAACAGTATATCAGTGCCTAGTTACATGAAGTATTTAGTTTGTGCGATACAAAAACGCCCTCTGATTGGTGGAGCATCTCTAGGGGCGGGGCGTTAGCCTGAGGGACGCTACTTAACCCCGCCTCCTTTGAATCTGGCTATTATACTTAACTCCGCCTACATTTTGACGATCGTGCACATGATTTAATTAAAATGTAGCGTGTAAAAGATTCTGGCTATGGCTACTGGTGCGTCCGTTCCAGGGGTGTACAGGAAGACATGTCACGTGATGTTCCCTGTTTACTTCTGGTACACAAGCTTGGCCGTGACGGAACCAAACGTGATCGTCTGAAACAAAAAAAATTAAGAGTTGGTGACAAAATCGTACAAAAAATTAATCTCCATCTCAATGACATCTCCCTACGACACACACGCGCGCACGCACGCACGCACGCACACACACACACACACACACACACACACACACACACACACGCGCACACACACACGCACGCACACGCACGCACGCACGCACACACACACACACACACAAACAAACAAAAACACACACTCACACAAATACACAAATTTAAAAACTTAACCAAATTCAAAATTGTTACATTAGTCAACAAAATGGCTCCATGGTTCAAAATTCACAGTGTCTTTCTATTATAAGATCAAGGTAACCAGTGCATTTCCCGTCATGCCCTATCATGTGACGTACTTCCGTTAGGGTGTTTCCCGCCGCTTCCCTGACGGTGAGGGTCTTGGTCCCCTTCCCGTCAATATCCGCACAGGTGCTGGTCAGTTTGCCGCCCTCGTAGGTTATAGTGGTCTGGTAGTGGACACAAAAACTTGATTACTTTCTCATACTTGTTTGTTTTGACAAGTAGAAAAAATCAGCTTCTCGTCCATCCGTTTGTGAAAGAAATTTCAGTATGTTTATTGTTTAATTGTGAAAAACTTGAGCAGATTCAACAGGATTTGCGAAAAAAGACGACTTTAACACAATTGTGTGAAGAGACACACCAAAATGGTACAGATACTACAAGTAGAACTTTTAGGGAGTGTATCATTCAACTAAAAAAGGCTGAACGTGTCACAGCACGAAAACCGATATTTAACAAAAATTTCCGCAATATGTAAAGAATTATTAAAGGTGGGAAGATATTTCAGCAGACTTTACGACTTCGTAAAGGCCACTGAAAGGCAAATTACGCCTTTCCGTCACCTTTCAGTGCGCTTAAATGCGACGTAGATATAATGCATTACTTTACGCTTACCTTTACAAATCCGTAAACTAGAGTTCCACGATCTCATACCTTCGCCAAATGTTAGCCTTTATGAATAAGAAATATACTACTCACCCTGATTATGGATTGCATGAATTTTTGCATGAATTTTTGCACCCTATATTGCATGAATTATATCAGTCTGTTGATCATATTCTACACCAAAAGACAGTCTTATCTTAACAAAGAATGCCATTTCCTCATAAATTATGCAAATGTGGTCCTTATTTGAATAAGTTATGTTTAATTATGTTCACCTTCACTTAACTTTCAAACACCCCAAGTATGAAATTCCAGGCAGTTACCACTATGCAATTATAACATTTTCTCATTAATTATGCAAATTAAGTCTTCATTTGCATAATCGATATTTGCCTGTGTTTCTCTCGTTCTTAATAACATATGCTACAATCCTGAACTTCCTATCATGGAATGCAGCTGATTTATAGAATTTCCTCATTAATTATGCAAATTACATCAATATATCAAATTATATCATTATGTTAAGCATCACTTAAGCTACCTACATACCAAAAATCACGATGACCCATCAATCGGTTCTTGAGTTATCCTCTTTTAAACATTTGTCCTTGAAACCCCCCTGCAGTTCCAGAGCAAGCCACTAGAGGGCCCAAACTCATGCCACTTCTTCCCCAGCACAAGAGCTACCTACCACCCCAATTTCGTCACCCTAGCATGTCTACATCACGAGATATCAAAACCGGAAGTTCAGCTGCAGTACCATAACAAGCCGCTAGGGGGTCCAAAATTTAATCAGTTCCACGTCTCATGAAGACCTATCAACCTACCAAATATCAAGACAATCCATCTAAGCCTTCTTGAGTTATCGTGCTGACACACACACACACACACAGACACACGAACGCCAACGAAAACATAACCTTCTTGGCGAAGGTAATAACTAGAGGTCGTAAGAACGCTAACGTGCCAAATGTGTACTCAGTATACACATAGATGGGTGCATTGACACACACACAAAAAAAAAACTGCAAAATTAAGCATTTCTCCGCTTACCGGGTGACTTTTGCCGTCCATGCCGGTCTCGCTGAAGGCCTGGCCGAACTTGAAAGTGTTGGTGACCGAGCGGCCGTCGTTCCCAGTGTTCTTCCAGGTCACGCTGTCCCCCGCCTGCGAGAACTCGTGCGTCACTGTCCCCGACTTGATGGTGTCCCAGTACTCCGAAGGCACACCTGGAAAGGAAATTGACATTTTCTTAAAGCGATATCATGTAAAACTTTTTTGCACCAAAAGATTGAATATAGATACTTGAAATTTTCTCGTCTAGATTGTCATTTTGAAGAACTTTCAACATATCAGCGTCTTTTTTCCGGCCACTCAGCGCAGCGCGAGAATAAGTTGCACCAGGCCAGCTGTATTTTAGGAGGCCCCTAAAAAGAATGTAAACAAACAGCGGTTTTCGTTTGGGTATCTTTGGTAGCCTCAACACACTTTTGCGGCACAACGACATTGATCTTTTACTCCCCAAATGTCATTATGAAGCCAGGTAGACTTATAGCGCAAGAAAATGTGTAAACTGAAAATTGATTTTCAATGGGGCCCAGAATACAAAAAAAAATCATCAATACAACAAACAAAGAAAGTGAACTTGCGACAAAATTATAACAGATCGTAGCACCTATCAGAAGATTGTGAGATATTTTCGTCTCTTGTGATTATTGCGCAGTACTGAACATTGCATGCAGAAAACCTGTGGCTTCGAGCCAGACTGCTGCGCGTTTTAGATTATCGTCCTGAATAAATAAAGAGTGGCGAGTTAGAATTCGAATAATAAAAGAGAAAAGAAAAGAATACTGGCCGTACCTGCAGCTGTGAGATAGGCGTCCAAGTTGTCGTTGCTCTTGGCCTTCCAGGTCCCGTTGAAATCTGCGATCGGCATGGCTGGTTTCTTTAAGACACTTGCTGAGAGACTGACCGACTTTTCTTGATCTTCTGGGCGAACTGGTACCAGACGTGGTCTGTGTTCCTCTTTTATAGGCAGGAGGATATCGTGTGATTCTTGTTTAACCAACACTTGATAGCGTCAACATGTCGGCCCACCCCCTAGGTTAAAATGTTTGCCAGTTCTAACTGCCAGATAATGATATACGTTGATTACTTTGCCATAACAAAGTGTATATATTGTTTCTGGTCTCTGACAGAAATTATGCACTCTATGCATACTTTCTAGTTAAACATCGCGTTATTGCAATATATATAAGCACGAACGACATAACTATGGCCCAAATATGTTTTCCATGTATAAATTTGAGCAGATGGACAACACATTGGGGAACGGAGAGATGGGAGAATTGGGATGATGTTACCACATACACTGGTCTATATGTGTCACAACATTAGGGCTACTATTCTATGTTCTGTGACCATAAAATTTAAGAGTACTATGGTTTACAGTGTGTACGTCTAAACATTCACTCTCAATACAATGCCAGTGCAGGGATCAACAGCAACTGTTATTATTTTAGTGGTAACGCAAACGCTAAAACAAGCGTTGTAAGTTATTTAAATACATTTGCTTTCGTCGTCAACATCTGTCGTCCTTCCCCAAATATGAAGCTTCACGAACCTTTACGAACGTTTGATTAAAAATGTCTCCTTTATCTGTCTGGTAATTTCGTTTTTAAAAGCCTCACGCCCACCTGTTATCAAGAAATTTATCAACGTTCGGTACTTGAAATGGCCCGTCTGGAGAACTTACCAAACATACAAATATGTTCACTACGTACTTAAACATTGCTCCACATACGTCTATATCAAAGCACACAGCTAATTTAAAGTTCCTTGACCTTTCAGTTAACTTGTGATTACTTTTGCAAGTCTGGGGTGTAGGGAGTTGACCGGGCATGTGACCGGTCACATTAGCCTACATCGCAGGCCCCTCTGAGGGCATTTAGTACGTGACTAGCACTAGACTGACTGACAGATAGAGGGCATTTAATTTTATAGAGCTGCTTTCTGAACGTTGCCGTAATTTCTGACGTCTGTAATTTCCGGCGTTAGCAATTAGAGAAAAAAAATAGTCTATTTCTAAGTCTCCATCAGACTCTTTTGCAGGCTGGATAAATAGTAGAAATCGTCCTTAAAAGAATGTAGCAAGCAGGCAGGCAAACTGGACCCTCTATGGCCGGCCAACTCCCCTGGTCAGCTACATTCCTTTAGGCCGATTTCTACTATTTTTCAGCCTGCAAAAGAGTCTGGTAGAGACTAAGAAAAAGTATGTACTCAGCAAAGACAGTATGAAAATGCCTAACGCCAAGCCTAGTATCCAGGCTAGGGCCTGAATAGAGCCCCTCATTCATGAATACTGGGTGTCTGGAATTAATCAACTGACTGAGTAGAATTTAATTTTGACTTGGTGCATGTTAGGTGTGCGTAAGGTGTGTTTATTTTAGTTGCCTAGTCGGCACACATACGTGTACACACCGCAAAAACGTGCCTATTTGATTATCCTGCAATCTTACTGATAAAATACATAGCCTGACAAATTTCTCTTAAACTGTTAAAGATTGACACAGTAATTTGCCAGCCTCCAACGCTACAGAGAATCATACTTCTACGCATTGCAGATACAAGAAGGTAAAACCAAGAAACATTTAACCTACTTGATATATTTGGTACATATTAACCTTCCGCACACTGAAGTAGCAGTTTTGTGCTGCCATTTCTCTATTGGTTGTGGGTTAAGCAGCAGGGAGAATGTTAAAGGCATCCAGTTCAGTTTTAGGGCTTGGGAACCTGATGTTTCAAAGTCAATATTCTATCCACACTAAGTTAAAAACAACACTATCCTAATGTATATCAACATTCATTGAGCAAATATACCCAAAATTCTAACGAAAAACTGTTACTGAAAGGGCCCTGGGTTGATTTTTAGGGTACCACCCAGAAAATAATTAGGACTAATCATAGGGCTTGTTTCTGTAGTTTTAAATGGCTAATGTATGAAATACTGACTCAAATGTGCTAATGTGGGACAGTATGTGTCAATATCATACAGATTGCCTTATTCAGAATATTTCCAGTTTTGCCGCCCTGAAATTGCATTGGATGCCTTTAAGAGAGTTAATAAGAAAGCAATTTTTTTAAGAGTGGGCCTTATCACGTATTGAGACCCATTCCCTCACACTGTGTTACCACACCTGCAGTTTGTTTGCTGTTGGGTTCAGCCGAAATGTCGGGCAAACTGCGAAGGGACTAATCATTAATAGACGCGGTACTGGTAGGCATTGCTGGGGACATTCCGTTCATTAACCACAGGGTGGGATAAGTGGCAAACTTTGCAGCAAAACGAGTAGGCTTGTTGGCAGAATATGTTAAACCACAGAGATTTTACTCTTCTTTGATACCGACCAAATTTGTCTTTTATTTTCACTTATCTTCAAGATCCACCACAAAGATAAAATACAAATAATAGAAAGTGTATTTACAATTTTATGTACATCAAGGCTAAGAAAGAATACACACAAAGTAATGTTGTGAGACTGATCACATAATGATGTAAAAGTACAATCGAAGAAAATGTTCATGATCTAATTCTGATTCATTGCCTAACTGAGCTGTTACAGATCAGAGCACTGTTTTGCTGTGTTGAGATATGTTTGAATAATCTTGAAGCACATGTTTCAGGGCTCAAAATCCTTTTTTGTACTGGTGCAAGTATATAGCATTAAAAATTACCTGCCCCACTCAGAATTTAGGAAGTATGGATCATACTAAGAACTGTTCAGAAACCATGGCCATTACTGTATTTTTTATAGCAAAAGCAGCAAATAAAAATTCACTTACACCCACATGTATATATAAATCCAGTACATGGACCAGTGCAGGTTACATATGTGGTAGACATCAAAAATAGCTGCACAGCTCTAATTTTAACTGCACTAACCTGTGTATGCACTGTGCCACAGCCATATTTCAATTCAAGCCCTGATTATGGTAAACATCCTGTGCAACCATTCTGGTACAGAGAAATTAAACAAACAATAATTCATAATTCACAGACGTGACAAAATAGCCCGTTATAGTAAAAATGTCACATTGGGTGTGTATATTATAAAGGTAACACTTGCATAGTTCTTGATTTCGTACATTTTGTAAACATTCATTGCATGGTTACATAAACTGGCAAATAGCCCTGTAAAATCGCCCATCAATTAAACAATTTGATATCCAGATGGAAAAGATGGATCAGGTAATGTTCCAACACTTGTCACCTTAAATTTGGAAAGACACTGGAGATTTGAAAAAATTAATTCACAATACACAACTCATCTGTACTTTTTCTGAATATGCACTCAAGATTGTCAACTTACATGTATCAATTGAAAAAAAAATGCTTTCATGTGTTGGATGGTGTGTGTTTTTTCTGTATTTCTTTCATCAATATCATTCTAAAGATATGACTTGAAGTGACCAGTGTTAAAACTCCGGCTGCCTTCTAAGCTGCCTGAACTTTGAGCAGACATTAGGCCATGTTGATTTGATTATATGGATGACATCCTCTGGGAACCACAAACTGATGCAAGCGTGTGAATAAAAAAAGTTGCAAAAAAGAATTGCTTTCATTATGAAATCTATGTGGTCATGAAGGTTGAACAAATGACACAGAGTATGGTATGGCGAATAATCAAATTAATTTCTTTACATTTTCGTCTTTTTGGTTTGATTTTGGCATTCTATGACATTGGTATCGTTTAACTTTTCAAATACATGTATTTTTTTGCAACTTACAGTATATATCTGCTCATTTTGCAACTGTTTTGTATGATCTTTTTTCGTTTGGAAATGGCCGAAAATTCCTGCGTGCACGGATGTCATCCTTATAATCAAATCAACAAGGCCTTATCTATTATAATGGTTTTGGCTTTTCTACTTGTATTTCAACTCCCTTCCCCGCCATTTCTAGAGATCACAATTCTCCTTTCATCCTGACACTTTGGTGCGAGGACTATCCTCCTGTGGGAGGTACTGACAACTGTTTCATCAACATCCTGCTCCAACTGCCCCTCTTGTGATGTCACTTCCTGTCCCATGATTCCTTCCTGTGACATCACTTCCTGTTCAGGTGACCTCCTGATGACCCTCCTTTCTGATTGGCTGACACCTGACTTATCACCATCTTTTCTAAGGAAGCTATCTGCACTAGGGCCAACTTTCCTACTAACTGGCACATTTGCTGACTCAAAATTATCTAACCTAGCAGAAGCAGCCTGTGTTGAGTCAGTCTGACTGTCTAAATTCCCTGTCGTAATATTGTTCTCTGGAAAGTCTTCCTCAGTCCTATTTAAACAAGTCTCTTCAGCGTTGCCTGCACTGGAACAGCTTGCTTCATCTTCATGTCTGAACTCACAGTCTGTACTTTTGTTTTCTTTGCTGTGTTGGTCATTCTGACTGTCTTGAGTGTTGTTGCAGTCTTCCCTGTCCTGAGTTTGATCTACTACAACTGCTACAGTTTCTTCAGTGGCATCACCTTTCTCAGACGCAGATACAGTACTCAAACATTCCACATCACCTACACTACTCTCTTCATCCGTTGAGGAATGTTTTTCTGTGTTTTTCTCCTTGTCCTTGGATTTTTTGTGCTTCTTGCTCTTCTTTTTATGCTTGTGTTTCTTTTTACTCTTGTGGTGGTGGTGCTTACTTCTAGACTCTTTTGAAGACATCTTACAGAAGGTTACCTCCACTTCCGAGTCTTCGTCATGCTTCCTGTGACTGTAGCTGTACTTGTGGTAGTCGTACTGATCTTGTTTTTTCTTCCCATCATAGGTAACTTCCAGACTGGAGCTGCGGCTACGATGACGTGTTCTGCCCTGGTTCTTGTATGTGCCTGAGTACCTTACTGGTGAACCACCTCTAGAATGTGGAGACTGCTGATACTTCAGCTGAGGCCTCTCTACCGACCTTGACCTGCGTGCATGACCTCTATACTCATGATGGTCTCTCTCCCTCGAAAATGGTGACCTGTCCTTTGACCTTGACCTATGAGGCCTCTCTTTAACCTTTGACCTATATGACCTGTCCTTTGATGTTGACCTCCATGATCTTTCCCTGGATCTTGACCTGTGTGACCTTCTTTCATGACCTATGTCCTTTGACCTTGCTGAAGCAGGTTGATGGGTAGAGTGGGAAGAAGTTGTACTTTCCCGATGACTTCCTCTGTAACCTGAAGCTGGAGAGCCCTCCAGGTGTCTTGTTTTCTGTTTCCTCTTCCCTCCTGGCTTGTTCAGCAGCCTTTCCTTCTCCCTGTTCCTGGACGAGCTCCGTGACCTGCCACGAGACCTTCTCCTCGACCTACTCCGTGACCTTCGACCTCTCCCCTTTGATCTATCCCTTGACCTGAAATGACCTCTGCCTCTGGAGCTAGACCGACTCCTTCTAGTCCTACTTCTCGACCTGCTCCTTCTGGATAAGTCCTTGTACCTCCCCTCTCTTGACCTTCTTCTCGACCTTGACCTCCTGTTCCTTGACCTTGACCGATACCTTCTGGATGAAGCCTTTGACCGTGTTGAGCTCTTTAAGTTCTCTTCAAGTGTTGAGTTCTTTTCTTGAGGAGCTTCATCCTCAGACCCTGAGGATAGACTGATGAAGGCATCGGGTGTCCGTTCTGCCAGTGGTTTGATGTATCCGGTGAAGACAACTGATTCCCCACTGGAGGAGCTGTTAGCAGGGCTGTGTGGAGGGCTGTGTTCAGTCCTCACACACTGCTGCTCTCGTACTTCAATTTTAACTGTAACTGAAGGTGCAGGCACTGTCGGCTCTTGGTCAGGATTCAACCCTGAAGGCCCCGGAGTCTCGTCATCCCAACCAGACGTACTGGTCACCGATCTTCCGGGTTGGGTCCTCGGGGTGACCGAGGGGCTGTCCCACGTAGAATGCCTAGGTGCCCAGTTCAAGTAAGCTGTTGGGATGTTAGCATTAGCAACACTGCTAGCTGAAGGCACGTGAGGCGTAGGACCAACGTTGTGAAAATCTGGAGGAGTCAAACGGTCAAAATTCGGTGTCCGAGGAGACGATATCGGCGAGACATTGCCGAAAATTGGGGACTCGTAGATGACGTTTCTGTCAAAGGCAGCCATGTCGAAAGGGTACTTGGCAAACGTTATAAACTCGTGCAGAAAGTGGTCTGTTCTGTGGAGGAGGTAAGGTTCTAATGTGTGTTTGATCGTCGAGCTGCCCAAGTCAACCTGTAAATTGGAAAAACAAAGATTATCAGCATTTTTTTTTCAAGTAGCAAATAATGGAACAGAAAACTAGAAAGGTAACATTTGCAAAGCAAATGCATAATGTTTACCTTCGCATATGTAAATCCTTACTCAAACACATTCATATATGTGACAGGAGTCTAAATCTCTCCTGCTTTAAAATTGCAACATGATGTAACCCAAGGCTAGTTACCATGGTGACAGACATCTGTCATTGACCTTATTTGTTTGGAGAAGAGGAAGAAGAAACAGAGCAAAAACAATAAGTTTTCCTTCTGTAAAGGTTAAAACATAAAACTTGTACCCACCTGTTGGATGACTGTTATGATGAGCTGCAGTAAGAAGTCTACAATGTCTCGACTGGCCACCAATGCTTCCAGCTCACGACTCAGCCAAGGAACAAGCCTGGGTGGAACAGAAACAAACTTCTCAAGCAAAGCAGTATGAAAGAAACTCTATCTCCTGTTGCTAAACAAGTTTGGCCTATCAACTGTTTTTGTTAGTGGGAAATTATGGTCTTTGTATGACAGTTTACCTATTCTGATCTAAATTGACTAAAAACAAGGTACAGTTACAGCTATACCAGATGTTTAGGTCCAGACCTGTACCTAAATAATTTTTTTTTCTTCACTTCAATTTTCACCTCAAAACAAAGCTCATACAAACCACTCACATGTTTTGGGTTACATTAAGGAACTGTAGACAGATGTTTGTTCATCCTAGACTTGAAAAGGTACCCATTTGGGAAGCTTGTTCCATAATGATGTAGTTCTAGGAAAGAAGCTTTCAGTTTGGAACTTCCTCCTGAGAGATGGAGCAATGCTCCATGGAGGAAGAAAGGGTGATTTACTTCTGTAGTAGTAGCAAAAAAGGTACAGGTACAAGAGACAGTACAGGTACACAGCGCTACCAGCAGTTCTTACGGTAGTGGATTTTTGAAAACTTGTCCAACCCTGACTACCTGTGGGTAACTGCAGGGTTCCGTCTGTAAAACTGAGCTGAGATGTCCCTACTCCTCCCCTCGTCACCCTGCACACCTCTCGCCCGCAGTCCTCGCGAGTACACGCGCTTCCGGATGGAAATCGTGGACATTCTCCTCTCTGGGCGATAGCGGCGGGAGCAGTGGATCCTCTCGTGGCGGGCGTAGCTGTGGAAGATGGCCATCTGCTCGTCGATTCGGACGCGTGACTCGGCCATCATCCTCCGCCCCAAGTTAAGCGTGGTTCTGTACCTGTTGGCAGAATGACAGTCAGATTATCAGGCCGTAACATCAACAGTGGTCCGTTATTAGAATAACCGACCACTTTTTTGGACTGTACCATTATACAGGGGAGAGGGCACTAACTTATTGAAGAGTATTTATCAATTAAACAACGTATTGTTTACTTTGACTGATATACTTGAAAATACAACACAATGAAAAAGATGAAAACTATAAAAATTTAAACAGAAAAAGACTAAACCACCTGAACCTCTCGCCATCAATGGTACCGAAGGTCCCGTTGCCCAGTGGCAGTAGATAGTCCTGCTGGTAGTCATCTATGGACTTCACAGTGTGGATGATGGACTGGAAATCAGTCTTACACAGAGGACATGTCGCCTTCACCTAGTAAAAGTCAAAATAGTTAAGTTAAGAAGCAGTTCAAAGGCTAAGCTGTTCATTCCAAGTAGATTTGTTGTGATTACAAATTGCAATTCGCAACAACCCTTGTAGAGTTCAGTTCAGTATGGTCACTGTTACAATAATTGAACAGTTACAACATCATCAGCTCAACTTGTTTATAGAGATATGTTAGTTGTCCTACTCTTCAAGCAAATGTATGGTTCGTGGCTCTGTCCTGCTACATGTACATAATGTAACCCAACACCACAGGGTGTCTGTGACAACACGTTACCATGGTGACAGACATCTGAGGCAGGTCATTGACCTTATTTGTTTGGAGAAGAAGAAGAAGAAGAAGAAGAGGAGGAGGAAGAAACTGAGAAAAAACTACTCTCCAAGCAGAGGTTTGGGTTTTGGGTTATTTTTGGCATGTTTTTAGGCTTTTTCATCAGGGTTTCCATGCACTGGAATTTTTTTTCACCCAACCCAACCTCTGCTGGCATTCACCCCGAGCAAAAACAATATGTTTTCCTTCTGCGAAGGTAAAAATAATGAGGCACCTTTGACCACTCCTTGATGCAGGCGTAACAGAAGGAGTGGAAACAGTTGTCCGCGAAAGCCTTGTTGTTGAACTGCTGCAGACAGATGGAACAGTTCCTGTCAGGAGACGGAGGTGCCGGCTTCTGGACCCTCCTGCTGCCCTCATCTGAACTGTGGAAAAAACACCATTCAGAACATTCAAAGGTCAAAACTTATCAAAAAGCTGTGGAAAATGCACTATTCAGAACATTCAAAGGTCAAAAGTTATCAAAAAACTGTGGAAAATACACCATTCAGAAGATTCAAAGGTCAAAACTTATCAAAAAGCTGTGGAAAATACACCATTCAGAACATTCAAAGGTCAAAACTTATCAAAAAGTTGTGGAAAATACTAGTTCACCATTCAGAACATTCAAAGGTCAAAACTTATCTAAAAGAGTTACTAAGGGGTCCTTCCTGGTGTGAGTGGTTCAAACCTTACAGTCTTGTGGCTGTATCTGGGGTCAGGCTTTTAGCTAGGTTTTTTTTGTTGGGTGTCCAATTTGTTTACTGTATGCTATGCACAGCAAAGCTGCTGACTGTAGTTCTACTTCCCACTGCTAGGTGGCAGTGCAGTGCGTAAAATACAGTCCCAAAGCAAAGCATAATGCTTACCTTCGCATATGGTCTGCTCTGTTAATTCTTACTCAAACACATTCATATGGTCAGACAGGAGTCTAAATCCTTCCTGCTATAAAATTGCAACATGGTGTAACCCAACACTAGTTACCATGGTGACAGACGTCTGGTTCAGGTCATTGACCTTATTGGTTTGGAGAAGAAGAAGAAGAGGAAACAGAGCAAAAACAATATGTTTACCGAATTCGAAACAATACACTGAGTGTTTTTACCTTTCACTGGAGCTTGAGAGAGATCGGGTACAGACTATAGGTGACCTCTGGGCTGCTTTGCCACACTTCTTGATTCCCGACTCCTCTGTCTCACTGTCACTACTGATGATGTAGGGACTCTGGTTCTGTACTGTAGCCATGATGGGCTGATCCTCAGTTGATTTGCACTGCCATCACTGAAAAGACAAGAAAGTACAATCTGGGTTGAAGAGAGAGACAACTAAGACAAACAAAACTTCTTTTTCTTCAGTAACAGGGTAGGATAGGATAGGATAGGATAGGATAGGATAGGATAGGATAGGATAGGATAGGATAGGATAGGATAGGATAGGATAGGATAGGATAGGATAGGATAGGATAGGATACTAGGCTAGGCTAGGATGGGAAATAATGGCGAGAGTTCAGTACAAAACCTGCCATCAATAGTAGAAGAAAGACAGGATCGGTGGTATTCGGTTACGCAACACCCCCCTCCCCACGTTTTCCTTGCGTTTGAGAGTGATTTTACCAACTTTAATAAACGTTAGGGTTCAAAAGTCAAGATTAAAGTTCTTCTATAATGTAAACTGTACCATATAACACAAGTAAATATACATTGTGGCTGCTAGAAGCAACGTTACATCGACGAAAACGACAAGAAACACTCACCAAAACTTTCTCATGTCGCCATTTTGTTCAACTCCTGAGGTCATGACCTTTGATTCTAGACGAAACAAAATGATTTTCAAACGTATTTCTTCCTTTTAATATTATCGAAATTTAATTTTCAAAAGAAAAAATAGAAACGTTTTCTGTGTTCATCTCAATTTCTATTTTAATGGTCGTTTGGATTAAAAAAAAAAATAAAGGTCATAGGTTAATGATACCACCAAAATGGCGGAAAAACGTCTTAGATGAGTTTGGAAGAGAAATACCGTCAAACTGTGACGTTTTCCTGACGACAGAAACATGTGGGTGATCAGTAAGAAGGTCCAGGAGTATCTACTGTTGTTGGTGAGTATGAATCTGGATATTTCTTGGGATTGTAAAGTAATTTTGACGTTACCTATCGCCTGTTTTCTTTGCTCCTCTTTTCAGTTTTCAGCCTTTTGTTTTCACAACGCCGGAGGCCAGTCCTAGCACAACTGAAAGCGCTTTTTGAAACCTGCTGAAGTCGCTAGATTTTCCTCAATCCTGCTGGTTTTAATAATAAACTTCAAGTGTCTAACCAACCACTGTGTACCTATCCACTGTAGTCTTTTTTTTCTAGCAACGTGTGTGCTTGCAAAATATGGTTTATTTAATACCGTATAATTTTGTATGCAAATTATTCATGAGTCATAATGATATGACACTAGATATGACACGTCAAGGAAGCTCCAGATGTATACATGTACATACATCCATACATGCATATTTAGCATAGGGGGTTCAAATCACAGCATAGGTGGGCCCCTATGCTCAAAAGGCCTGGCAAGTAATGGCAAGAACACTGAAGACATAATAATAAAATATTGAATCACATCACTGACGTACAATGTCAAAAGAACTGAATGTTTAGATTCTCTCCTGTATGGCATATCAAGGTATATTAGAACCCTACCCTATGGAAACCTCTGGAGCAAATGTAATAATGTGGTGTGTATGATGTCATTACTTGGCATTTAACCTGTTTTACAGAAATTACAAGTTATGATATCCCCTCTCTAACTGTCGCCTATGGGCGGGCAGCTATTATATAAAAGGAGAGTTGTTCCACAATAAACCACATTTTCATTACTTCTTTGTGTATTGTTTCTCAGCTCCTAGCTGCCATCGTGCTGTTGGCCTGGGGGTTTGTCATCTATGCAGGGCGTATCTCAGCATTACGCATGATCACACAGACTCTACAGAACTGACAGCAACTGTCAATCAATCAATCAATCAATCTGACAGGAGGCTTGCATGAAGACTTGAAGTTGTAGCTGTGTCGGAATGACAACAACAACTTTTGAACTCTCAGTGTCTCACCATATGTGCAAAGTGTTCCCAATGGCCAGCAAATGTCTTTGTAATCGTTGCATTGTGTCTTGCTGCAATTGTTGTATTGTGGTCTGATATGGAAAGAAATGTCTACAAGAAGGACAACCTTATTACAAGCATTGAATGAGAATGATTTAGGCAGTAATATGTACTTATAGATAATAATTATTAGATAATTAATAGATAATGATTATTGCAATGTGAATAGGAATCATTTTTCACTTTGAGTTTGATTTAGTAAGAAATTTTTTGTTGAAATTTTAAATGTCTGCATCATTTTGCTTCATTTTTGTGAAAACTATAAGTAGAGCAAAATCTAATAAGTAGTAGAGAATACTGCTACATTTATCAACTTATTTCATAGATCCGACTGAGCAACCATAAAAAATTCATAATGGCAGCTATTATAAACTATAAGCACTCCTCTGCACCCAGTTTGAAGTTTGTACTGGATATTACAGAAAGCTCTAACATTCCTATAAACAAAACCCTGTTTGCCTTTGACTGGGACCTTACACTAAAAGTGTACAACAGGATCTCCCAGGACATGTTTGTCAGAGGAAGAGAGGAGTCAGTCCACGTTCTACACCGCCTGAAACAGGAGGGAGGAAGACTGGCTGTTGTAACAGCCCGCGACCCCAGCCCTCTAGTCTGGGAGACTGTTGACATTGAACTGAAAGCACTCGACCTTGCAGAACTTTTCGACGACAATGTTAAAGGAGAAAAAAGAGGATGCATTCCTATGAAGACAGCTTCAGACACACAGATGTATGTTGGCCACGGCATCATTGTCTCTGGCTACGAGAAGGCAGAAGCCTTGGATATGTATTGTAGAAGCCAAGATATAAAACCAGAGCATTTGGTCTTTGTGGATGACTTTGTGGTTAATGCCTTCAACGTCGGGGCATATTTTGGTCAGAAAGAAAAATTGAGATTGTTCAAGAGTGTGACGACTGTTTGGTGGGACCCAGTGGCTTTGGTACCACATGACTTACCAAGTCTTCCTAGCAGTGAGAACTCATATTCAGACTATCTGATAGAGTACCGGAAGATTTTTGGTGTAGACTAGCAGGGCTTGAAATTCATTTTTGGGAATAGTTTGGGTGCACCATATAAAATAAAATAAGTAGAATCAATGTCAGCATCTGTATCTGTCTGTTTCTGTATAGCTGGTATACTAGTAACTGCCCTTCAGCGTAACACACCAGCAAAAACTGTTTCATTTTTATAGAAAAGTACTACAACAATGATTGTATTATTTTTCTGACAGGTAGATGTTAAGAGTATGGTATATACTGCTATACATTTAAGATCTGTACATTATGTAAACCCGCAAAAAAAAATTGGGTGCATATCTCCAAATTTAATTTTAGGGCGCACTAAGGTGCACATGCACCCAGTATTTCAAGCCCTGACTGAACATTTCTGCTTTGTTCCATAGACTTTTACATGTGCTATTTTCTAGAAGTGTTTTTTTTAAATATATATATACTGATTTGAGAATATACAAAGTATCTTTATTGGTAGATATGTAATGGTGGAGGAAATTTACCGTAAACAAATGTTCACAATGCAAACAAACTGTTTGTGTTAATGGGGACCAATTGGTTGACATGTCATATGTAATAAACAAATGAAACAAAATATGGTTGAGGAATAAATCAAAGTTTATTTTAAAAACATTCATGTTTGAATGGTGAATTACTTCGTGCAAAGTTAAATGCCAAAGCTTTTTTTGTTTCAAATATTAAAACAGTAGTACATGTAGTTGTTTCTTCAACCTCATTGACAAGGTAGTAACTAAGTACTACTAGTACTAGTAGTTGCTAGATCTAAAGAACTATTTGTCACCCAACAGGTACATATTGTAGGTAGTCCATGACAGCAGTCATATCTTTCCAAGTGTACTGGGTACAATCTTTACACACACACAGAGTGAAGAAAGGTTCACCAAGGCCATTACATGGCTTCTCGTGGGTCATACATCTTCACACATCAACTTCATCCACATGGTAAACAACTACATCTAGCAACCTGCATGTGAACTGCAGCACGTTTTTCAACACTTCAATCTGTTTCTCAAGCGCTGCCAGGCTAAAGATTGCACTGAATGTCACATAATACCTTATGACTACTGTAGGATTTGATATTACTGATGGTATATCATAGACTCTGACAATACTATGATATTTTTAGCCTTACTCAAAACACTTGTACATTGTCAGACCCGTAGACACAGTTAACTTGCGTTTACTGTCTCGGCCGTCATGTATTGTTCCAAACTGGTTTACACCAAGACTAAAGTTTCACAGCTCAAACATTTGACTTTACATTGATGCCTTACTAATACTAGTATATACATATTGGAAAGAATTTTTTATGTTTAAAAATATTGTTTTTGTTCTGTTTCTTCTTTCTCTTCTTCTCCAAACAAATAAGGTAAATGACCTGAACCAGGTGTCTGTCACCATGGTAACTAGTGTTACATCATGTTGCGATTTAATAGCAGGAGGGGTTTAGACTCCTGTCTAACCATAATATATATGAATGTGTTTGAGTAAGAATTAATAGAGCAGACCATATGCGAAGGTAAACATTATGCATTTGCTTTGCAATTTACTTTCCTAGTTTACCTTTCTGAATTCTAGTTACCTTTCTAGTTTACCGTAATTTTCTTTTTTCTTTTTGTATTTCAAGGTGTTCCACAAGTTTCATTAAGAGCCTTGCAATTGGCAGATCCTATCATTTCAACCCATCAGATCATATTGTATCAATTTCAAACAGAAGTCATTAAAACAGTCATCAGACATCCAATGAGGAGAATGGTGGCAGACGCGTGATTGTCAGGTGATCCGCTGACATCAGGCGCCTTCAGCAGGTTGCCGTACTTGTCCAGGAGGTGAAGAGCCACGCCATTGGTCCATCCGTAACCGTCCTGTAACAAATAGTTGTTTGTTGGATAGAAATTAGTACAGTTAATGTGAAAGTGGCTGGGGAATTTGCTGTGTTGACAAAATGCATGTATTTTACAGTTACACTGAGAAATGTATACGTACGTGTGTACTTATTTTGACACTAACGACTAAGAATAATAGAGGACACCTGAGCCTTACCTTAACATCCTCTTCCTCGTCACTGTGGCGTGGATGTCGGCCTGTGATCACGTTATACTGAGGAAAGAGGCACAGGAAGATCATTTCAATTGTTTCCTATGATAACAAAACAAGGTTGATATATACATGGATGTCATAGCAACAAAATCTGATTGCCTAGATTGAATGACAGAAAAAATATCGTGCTAGATAGAACATTTGTAAACATTAATGTTTACATGTAGTTAGTGTGGCCTTACCTTGTCCCACATGGCTCCAGTGTGTACCCAGTCCCTGTAGTTAGTGTGGCCTTACCTTGTCCCACATGGCTCCAGTGTGCACCCAGTCCCTGTAGTTAGTTAGTGTGGCCTTACCTGGTCCCACATGGCTCCAGTGTGCACCCAGTCCCTGTAGTTAGTGTGGCCTTACCTTGTCCCACATGGCTCCAGTGTGCACCCAGTCCCTGTAGTTTAAGTTAGTGTGGCCTTACCTGGTCCCACATGGCTCCGGTGTGTACCCAGTCCCTGTAGTTAGTCAGTGTGGCCTTACCTTGTCCCACATGGCTCCAGTGTGCACCCAGTCCCTGTAGTTAGTCTCCAGCCATTTGCGGGTCAGGTTCAGGGCCGTGTTCTTAGCCTCCGTCAGCTGGCTGACCGACAGGGCCTCGATCAGGACAAAGTGGTTGGGCGCGGTGCCGTACGGGTAGTCCCAGGCCTGGCCGCTCTCCTGTAGTGAGGCTGGTACACCCCCCGTGTAGTTCAACACATCCGTGTATTGCTGAAATGTTGGGATACAAACACATGTAGAAGATGAGACATGTATAGGTGAGACAGAGGGTGCACTGAAAACAAGAACACCAACACCTTTATATTGAAAAAAAAAAGATTCTGGTTCTGAATCAACTCAAAAATGCTCATATTTTGCCCCCAACAGTTGAGGAAAGTCCTTTTCTTCCTAGTTGATAGTTTCCTATCTATCAAAGCAGTACGTATAGTGGTTCGGTTAAAAATTCAAAATTCATTGTTTAAGTATTAACCCAGTCTTTTGTGTTGACTTCATGGCTCCTATCATAGCATTTGGGGCTATAATAGGATGCCTAGACCTGTTTTTATTTTATTTTTTGCCCTGTCACTTCATATTTCAAATTAAATTGGTGTGGCCTAATGCTTGCAACTGTGGCAATGTTGGGACTGGGGAAATACTGGTTGTTATGGCCAGCTTTCACTATATAAAATCCAATAGAATTTATGAACTAAATGCTCTGACCCTAAAAACTTACCTTCAGGTAGCTGAGGACCCTAGCTTCTATATTGGCATCTCCCATGCCATTGCCATAGCACTTTGCCCACAGTGGCCAAACATTAGATATGTAGAACCTGTGTGAAAAAAGTGGTAACTTAGATACCATCCAGATACCTGCACACGTGTGTCTCCTTGTTCTTTCTAATCCGAATGCAGTTTTTAACTAGAAAGGTAACATTTGCAAAGCAAATGCTTTAAGTTTACCTTTGGCATTGCATATGGTCTGCTCTGTTAATTCTTACTCAAACACATTCATATATTTAGTGACAGGAGTCTAAATCCCTCCATCTATAAAATTGCAACATGATGCATCTCAACACTAGTTACCTTGGTGATGCTTCAGGTCATTGACCTTATTTGTTTGGACAAGAAGAAAAAACTGACCAAAAACTGTTTTCCTTCGGTAAACATAAAAATAGATAATTTTTAACATCTCAATGAGTTAATAAACTGTAACTTATTCTTAATTTTTTGTCTTCTCCCACATGTGTTATTTCCCGTTGTTGTTGTTTGTTTGTTTGTTCTTACCTGTCCCTCCTGCCCTCCGCCTGTAAGTCGTAGTCGAACCACGCCCCCCTCCTCTCGCTCCACAGCAGCTTATCCATGGCCACACGCCTGCGCGCTGCGGCACTGTTGTAGTACCCTGCCTTCCTGCGGTCACCTTTCAGTGGAACAATTCAAATAGTCATCAGGAAAGTATTGCAAATCTCTAATGCTGAATCAAACTTTTCAGATAAATGTTAACTACAAAAAAACTAGAAAGGTAAAATTTTAAAAGCAAATGCATAATGTTAACCTTCGCATATGGTCTGCTCTATCAATTCTTACTCAAACACACTCATATATATAGTGACAGGAGTCTAAATCCCTCCAGCTATAAAATTGCAACATGATGTAACCCAACACTAGTTACCATGGTGACAGACGTCTGGCCTTATTTTTTTGGAGAAGAGGAAGAAACTGAGCAAAAAACAATATGTTTTCCTTCAGTTAACATAAAATAGCGATCAGAAATTAAAGTATTGCAAATCTTTAACGCTGAATTAAACTTTTCAGATAAATGTTCACTAAAAAAGGAAAGAAGTGACATTTTTCTGATTTCAAATGCTTCTCAGTCAAAATTGGAACTTGAATAGCTTCCGGTAGACGTTTACTTTGTCTAGTGTCCTATTGAAATAAAGCATAGGCGACACATTTCACCATAGAACTTATTTTTCCCTCGCATCTACTTGCGCTGGACGTGTTGATAACAATTTCAGCACCAAGGAGAAGACCACAGTGTTCATGACATATTCGCTTTTCCTACTACTACTCCATAAAAAAAAACTTAAACGGGGGTCAGAAAGACCCTGTTCGTGTTTTGATAGGAAATTCCTGACTATTTTTCGGTGCAGCGAATATCGTCGCTTTGGTTGTTAGTACTTTAGGTTTTACCTGCTCTTTGGTAGATGCGAGCCAAGGCCACCTCGCTGAGACACATCATGGCGTTTAGGTCCACGGGCACGATGTTACGGGTCCTGATACTGGCCAGGGTGCGAGCCTGGGGGCCCACGTCAGCCAACCAGCGAGAGGAAAACTCCCAGCCCGATTCCACCGCTGTGGCCACGTGGGAGTGGAAGTCAGCGGGGTCCGCACCTTTGAAAAAAAATGCACTGCTCAATGCCGCCATCTAGCGATACTCATCGGTACTGTAGCATGGGCACGATTAGTACAGTCTGCACGTAAGAGACGACTTCAAGTTCATGTTTGTATTTTGCTGGTGTCAATCTCTTCCAACTTGCAAGTAAGTCATGAAAAAAAACTGTAACAAGAATGCGCAAGACTTACCACGTGGAAGGGACCTTGCTGTTCGCTCGTCTAAGCGCCAAGCCTCGGGCCTGAATAAAACAAATATAACGTTAGTGGCTGAATAACATGAAAGCAGCAGTCACGTAACGTAATAGTGTATGACTTCTACAGGACGTGATTTCGTCAAGCTATTAAAGCACACTACGCGATTACCTTGACTGCCCCACCAGTACGTGGTAACGGTTGAGGGTGTGCATGGAACCGTCACTTCCCCGGATGTCCACTGTCCGGTTGGTCATCCAGAAGTCGTACTCCTGGACGAAAGAAAAAATTCAGACAATGTCAGAGCTTGAAAGGTGTTGCTCCAAAACAGCAGAATCGATCAAAATCTCGAATACTCCGTTTTAAGCATAGTTGAAGAATTGATCTGTTGTGTAAGACGGAGAAAAAGTGACTACAGAAAGGTAACATTTCTTTCAATAATAAGAATAACTTTTTGAATTCTAGGCAAAAATGCACACAGTTTTTTAAAAACCAAATCTCTGCATCAGAAATTTCTCATGCGTGATTTTATTTTCCGGCGGCTCACCCTCTCTAGGGTAGGAAGAAGGCTTCTGATCAAAGTGATGTCATTGGAGTGTTCAAGATACTCCAGGACGGTGGGGATGAGCAGGGGCGGTCCGCTGTGCTTACTTTGATAGACCCTCCCCCCTCCGGGAACGTAACCGAACCTGGGGGAAAAAAGCAATGATTTATTTAAAGAAAAACACTCATATACACATTTCTATTTCTTTTTCTCTGAGTTATAAAACCGAATATACTTAAAGCAAAAGGAGTGGAAAAGGAAATAACTCGGAATATGAAATATGAAAGTAGTTATAACAATATGAGATGAATAACACACCTTTGGACCATTTCGGCGAAATTTTCTAGCATCCCCTGCACTGTCTCCAGCATATTTGACAGCAACAGTCCACGAACAGTCCAGTAAGTGTCCCTGGACGAGATAAAAAAAACAAGGAAATACGAATAAATTACATTAATACATTGTGAGCAGTTTGGCTCATTGGTCAACGTCGGTGAAGGTTAGATGCTCATTGGCAAGTTAACGTTAACTTACTTCATGTCAAAATTGCTACAAGTTATCGCTTGTTGTATTTAGCAAATTGTGTAAAGTAAGGGATTTTCGAACATCTCCTATAACGAAACGTACATCATCAATCGCCAACTTCACCATAGAAAATTATTTTTATTGTGCTCATTTAATATTATGAAGTGCTGTACGTCTATATGTAAACCATTCTTATATACGTCTATGAGTTCGGGGGGGGGCAATCAATGGCTGGAACAGCCATTGTTCTCTTGGATACGAGGTCCTTTCGCCCCTCTGTTGATCCTGGATACGGACGGTTCCATATAATGTTCTTTCATGGGGCCTGGTATTGTGTGCGTTCTATTGATACACATAAACTACGTCTTGACGTATATACTGTGATTAACAAACTTTATTTATAATAATACTAAAGAATTTTGAATACAATCTATGGGTATTTGCACCAAATATATCTGTGCCCCTAAAGTTGGTTTGCCCCCCCGTTGCTACGATACAATGGAACGTCCCCATTGCCCATTGTCCCCACTAGGTGTTGCAAAAGTTTGCAAAATCAGCCACGAAAATGGCCTCTCTCGCTTTCAGCGTGTATGCGGACAAAAATGGCAAGAATTCTATGGAAGACCGACATTTCATGTTCAAGGTAAGACTGTAGAGAGTATCTGTGCCGTTTTGTTTGGAGTTGTTTGGTCAACAGAAAAAGTTACGGCCGATTTTGTGGGTACGTGCATGGCGGGGTTAAAAATGTTGGATTCTAGCTACAACTAACGTTGCCATGATAGCTCCTGCATTGTCATCATCATCAGTCTTGCATTGTATTAACTGTTTAAAAAAGACCAACTAATATATCAAAGAGTTCTTAGTGATTTTACATGATCGTGTATGATTTTTACAATGAGTTACCCCATGCGGGAAGATAATTAGCGATCCACAACTGGGTTGTTTTACATGTGGACACTGTGATGCTGGCATCCATTTTGGAAATCATAAAGTAGAAAAATTCACTGTCGTCTGAATATGTGGGGTTCGTGATATTGTTTGAACATTCGTCCGAAGCCTTCTTAAACTTAGACTGTCTACTGAAGCTGTTGTTATCGTTGGAAACAAGTTTATTTTGTATTAAGTGTCGTTTGACTAAAACACAACTTCGACACTTTTGTGCTTGTTGATAGGTAGGGTCGGTAGGTAGGTGGGGAGGGATTCGACTGATTCTTCCTTGAAAACTAACGGTTTCGTCATTGAAATTTGACCCCCATTATTTTCTACAAACTGTTGGGCATTGAAGAAATATTTGTAAGCACATATTTCCCGTGGTTGCTGCCCACAACACTTTAAAATTCGCAACTTGAACACTTTTGTGCTTGTTGAACTTTGATGGGTTGGAAGGAGGGGAGGGATTCGACTGATTCTTTCTTGAAAAGTAACGGTTTTGACATTGAAATTTCACCCCTCATTATTTTCTACGAACTGTTGGGCATTACAGAAATATTTGTAAGCACATATTTGCCGAGGATTTTCCTCATATTTGCCGAGGATTTTCCTCATATTTGCCGTGGATTTTTGCCCACAACAGCATCGAAATTAAGTGGAGAGGGTTTAACGGATTCATTAAAAACTGTAACAGTAACGTTATAGATACTGGAGTTTGACCCCCATTTTCTTCTACGAACTGTTGGGCATTAAAGAAACACTTCTTAGCACATATTTGCCGGGGATTTTTTGCCAATATTTGCCGTGAATTTTGCCCACAACAGCATCGAAATGGAGCGTTTGTAGCGGGCGTGTGTGACGGTCACGGGGGCGATTTCTGTTCGGACTTCGTCGCCCGGGACCTGCCCGAAAACCTCTCGGCCGAGATGGACAACCACACCGACCACGAGACAGCCCTGAGACGGGCGATCCGCGAGACAGACCGGGAGCTTTGCTCCCGCCTGGTCGGGAGATGGAAAAAGGCAGGGACGACAGCCGTCATCTCTCTCATCACGGGCTCGGAGATCATCACCGCATGGGTGGGCGACAGTCAGGCGGTCCTGGTCAGACCTAACACCGAGGGAATTCCTCTCGTCACCCTGCACAGGTATGGCACTGTTTGGTGTTTATTTCTTAGTAGAAATTTACCACATATTGCTGTTGTTTTGAATCCAATTTCTATGTGTTTTTTTTTTCATTTCTTTGTACTTATTTGATCGCGAAAAAAAAAATTCTAGTAATGATTGCGATGTAGGCAGTTACTTATTCTAAGGATCTCGCGATTAGATATTGTAAGTTCGAACTTCGAACTAATGCATGTGTCTGCGGAATATTTTATGCAATGTCTTGCATGACATTGCTAGTATTATTTTGTTTAGATTCTGGATTTTGTTAGAAAGTTATGGTCATACCCAGAGGTTCTTCTATTGCAGTGTTACGTTAGACTCTAGCATTTGAAAGAGCATGTTTTTTTTACCATATGTATTTTTTTCTAACGATAGTAAGATCTACAGTTACTTGGTAAGTTGTTGGCTGCTTTGACTTTGAGACACCTTTCCTTCCATCGAATGCTTTCAATTTTCATGACAATAATGTTGAAATTCCTATGTATGATGTGCCTGTTAAGATCCAGTTTAATTCAGAGATCTTCTTGCTTCTTTTTTGTTTTGTAGTATCAGTCTTTTTATTTTGTTGTTAGGAATTTCTAGGGATGAATTACATTTGCATATACTGTTGAGGACAAGTTGTAATTCAGATATTACTGCTGTAGACTTAAGAAAATGTTTTCACAAATTGTTAAGGATTCAAACTTTATTTTTGCCAAAGCTGTCTTGAAAATGCCATTTTATCTAAGATGAGGATTTAATAGGTAAAAAAAAACTTTGAGAAAACCTTTATTGCTTTAAAGCTCAAGTTATGTTTTGGCAAAATCAAATGTTTGCCAACAATGCTTTGAAAAATCAATCTTATATGTTTGAAAGTCCATAGGTAGACATTTGTTTTGGCAAAATTTATTTTCTCCCTTTTGAAATGTTATTGTTGCCAACACTGGCTTGAAAAAGTTAAAGTCTGTTTAAGTTTTGATTTAGTTAACAGTGTTCAGAACCCTTTTTTGAGCAAGGTAGCTCACAGTGTGCTCAACCTAGGGCAAAAACTAGGTGGCGCACCAGAACTTATTAGGTTCCCACCTACCGCCGATTCGTCAAATTCTATGTCTGTGCTGCAATACATTTTTTCTCCATCTTCTTCAATGCTGTGGCCAGTCGTTGTGCTATGTCTCTTGAAAGGCGTATTTGCAGTACACGTTTAGATGGCTTTCCC